CTGGATCTGCGTCACATGTCCGGGTGCTAGGGCGCGATCAGCGTACGGCATGGCCCGTGAGGCATACTCGACACCACTGTTGAAATATGAGTCCTGCCGACTCCGGCTCTGGGCCGACGAGCCAATGGCAAGCACCATGTATAGCATCCAGTAGTCAGAGCTCCGTAGGTTCGAGCGTGGTGGCGGCATGTTCGGCTGGGTCGGCTGCTGCTGGATATGCAGCTCCTCGAGGAGAGCAAACAGCGACGTCTCGGGAAAGAACGGAAAGAGGGAATGGACGTGGGCAATGTAGTACTGGACAATGCCATGATAGGCTTGTCGAGAGGGGAGCTTCGCAGATGCCTTGGTCGGCTCGGGTAGTGGGTCGTTTCCGGCAGCGGCGAGCACGAGGCGCGCAAAGGTCATATTATTAACCGATGGCTCGAAATCCCGGGTTGTCGCGTTTACCGACCTATGTATTGTTAGCGAATGTGAATGCGAAGGGGCCGTAGACACGACTTGTTCGCAAAGCGTATCCAACCTACAGGAAGCCGAAATCCGACACAAGGGAGTTAACGTCAGAGTTTTCCCTCTTACGAGCTGCCTTGCGATGTATTGCCGCACGGATGACGGCCAGCGAGTCCTTTCGTTCAGCACCAGGGGGCCCTGGGAAATTCGTTCCGCCATCCGTGTGAAAGGCTACGGATGCCTTGCGCGATTGGGCGTAGTTCAGGCGCCGCTCTAGTTTCTCAACGCGAAGTTCAAGGGCCGCAACGTAGCTCCTCTCCTTGCCGCGAGCGAATTGATCATTGGCCGCCGAACACTCGCTCTCACGGCCGGCCTTTTCGCAGGCCGTACACGCCGGGAGTTTCCCATCACACTAGCACATGTCAGCTGGCGGGACTATCAAGACGTGACGTGGGTGGCAAGCTAAGTTACCTTGACTTTTGCAGCTCGGCCTAGACAAACGAGAAGGAGCGTTAGCAACAGAACAGGCATCGCAGACGGGTGGTACGGAGGAAGTCCAGTCTGTAAGTTTGTCTCATCGCCGCGCTGGCACGGGTGTGGAACTATACTGACAACGCGAACAGGCAGAAACAGGCCTGGAAACACGCAGCAAGGGATTGTCTGAGAAGCTGGACCGCGGCATCGTGAGGCGAGATGCTGGGGAGGCGCGATAAGAGAGGCGATCGAAGCGTAGGCAGCCGGTGCTGCTCGGCCAGCACAGCAAGGGCGAGAAGGGCCCTTCGATAGTGTCCTAGCCGGCAACGTGTAGTATATTCAAGAACAGCACAAGACAGCCACGGAGACTGTGCGAGCCTTGTCCAACAGAACGTCCAACTGGAAGAGTTCTGCGTTCTGGTTGCGACAGCGCTGAAGGTCGTAAGCTGCCCAGAGCAAGCAATTTGTATGAGCGCAGTGAAACAGGGCGGAAGTGATATTCGGCGACGGGGAGGAGGTAGTGGACAATATCTTCGTTGACGTCGTCTCCGTTGGTGTGAATCACGAGATATGTAGCTCTGGGTTCTGGATGTCTAGCGACGGGCGTATGGGCAGGCGCGGGAGGCAGGTGCAGACGGGTCCAGCTTGGAAAGCAAGAGCGAGACGCGTTTCTCGAAGCTGTGGTTCTGATACTCAGGAAAATGTGAATGGAAGGAGCTCTCTCTCGGTGCTGGGTGTCGGCGCAAGCTTTCCTATTGCATGCTGTCTGTGTTCAATCGTTGTTGGCGAATTTGGAAACTACGATCGACCTTGCGAACGCGGGGCAAACATATGGCGCTGTGCGCATTGTCTGGCAGGCGAGCTCGCGAGGCCCACTATTCGATCGGTCGGTTACGAAAGTACCATCACCTACAGAATACAGAATGAATGCCCACTAGCCGGCGACTTCTCTGCCGACCAGCGACTTTTGCACCATGCCCATGAAATGCCTTTGCCACAGGGCGCCTTAGCGGAAGAGCTACCAAACAGAAAGGCTATTCGCACAGCTTGATTGGTCACTCTTGCCAACATTGATCCCCTCTTTCTTACTGCCTCACTGGCCAGCTTTGGTCCGGCCCAGCACTTGCGGTAGCTCTCCCCTTCCTGCCTTTGTTTGAACCCTGGAAAACTGCAGTGTGACTGCCTATTGTGGGTTTTGCGGCAAGGGATGCGCACCATGCCTTCCCAATTCGACTGTCACCGACCCTCTTGGCCTGGCCCAAAGTCGGAGTACTGCAACCCCCACCTTCCTCGGTAGTGAGAAGTGCCTTTTGGGCCGGTCGTACTTTCTTCTGCGCGCCGTTGGTGTTCGCTGTGGCAGTTGCCTTGTGCGGTTGGCGAATACTCGTTTGTCGCTGCTACAACCTCTTCGTCGTGGCCCTTTCTTACGCCTAAAATGCGACTGCAGGTCAATAATATGCGAAGTCTAGGCTACCAGGCTGCCCACAAGACGGCACGCTATACCCCTCATTTCCGCCTTCCTACGGAGTTTTCAGAGTCTTTGTAGTTGCGCTCCCTGGCTCCACCAGAGTCGTTTGTCGCTCCTTCCCCGAGATCCCTAGTGGGTAAATTAGCGGCAAGCACGCCTCTGAATGGGTTTAGCAAGGAAAAACGGGAAGTAGCCTTGCTGCCCATGTGTCGCAAGTAGGCACGCCCGTGGCTTGTCCGAGTACGACGAAATGTGATTTCATTCGACCATCCAGGTGACGCGATACAACAACCGCCGAGCGTCGAGGCTCCAATGCACACTTTCAACCTCAAAAGTTGCGCAGCGGCCAGATAAACATTTTCTACAACAGCACACCGACTGCTGAATGCTTTTCGCATACCCGACTCTCCCCGAAGGCGCCGTGTACCAGCAGGAATCACCAACGGCGACTTTCGTTCGAATTGCGGCGATCCGTTGACCCAAGCCTTGTTCGACGACACCGTATCAGCGTATCAGTTCGTGACGCGATCGTGACGACTCTACTGCCCCGTCGCGAACCACCCAAACACAGACTCCTAACATCCCATCCGGAGAGAGTGTGTGTACAGTTACACGCCAACGCTCAGTGTTGTGCGCCGCAGAATCTTTTCTCCTCACCCGCCTCGTCGTGAACTGAGTGAGACATCTGCACCGTTTGTACCCTCCTGCTGTCTGCCCTGTCGGCGACGCGATTGGGGGAGAGAGAAGCTGCGCCGCCGAGACAGTCAGCGGCGTGCTCTTGCTGTGTTCCACCGAAACACAGGCGCAACTGCAGCAACCTGTTGCCTTGCAGAAACCCGGCGAAACTCCCCAGCAACTTCCCCGACAGACGAAGCAAGCAGCCTACGTTTGCAGTCTACGGAGGCTCGACCAACACGGGCCGACGATGAATGCGTCCGATATCTTTCGCCAGGGCTTCGTCCCAGGCCCGATCCGTCAACCGCCGCCCCAGCCGAAGTATTACCAACAACCCTCCAGGACTCAACCGCCGCCACAGAGTCGCGATAGCGACCATGACGCTCCGAGTCGTGTTGCCCATACCCTGACGGCATGCTGTCGTTGTCGGCAGGTATGTGTCTCCCATCGGAGACACCATGTTGACCAATTGTTCGCCAGTTTGTTCAATCTACTGACTTGAGTTTCGCAGCGCAAAACGCGATGCGACCCTACCCTGCCCCGATGCCTACCCTGTGAGCGCTCCGGTTCAGTATGCGAATACTACGACAGCACCAAGGGCCGCAAGATCAGCCGCTTTTATGTCGTGAAGCTGCAGGAGAAGGTGCGGCAGTTAGAAGCAGAGCTGGCCCAGTTCACGGAAGAAGACCTGCCCGAGGACAACGAAGACATGATCCGGCCAGGCGGCTTCGTTCGCCTCAGCGACTCCGACGAAACGCCCCGCTACCTTGGCCCCAGCAGCGGCATCGCGATGACTCGGCTTCTTATGGAAGAAGCCAAGCGGTACACAGAGTCACAACGCATATCGGAGCTCATCCCCGAGCTAAACGCTCGCCGTATTGAGCGGTTGACACGCATGCAGAGCATAGCCGGGTTGCAGGGTCGTGCTGGCTCCAGCGTCAGCTCCGGGAGTCTGCGCAAGAAGAGCTACCCCATGATCAGCGCTCACCCGGCTGAGAATCTGCCATCACGCCCCATTGTGGACAAGCTGGTGGAAGTTTTCAATTCTCGAGGTACGCATTCCCACAACACAAGTATGATCTCCGTACATCTACCAACTTATCTGTATAGCGCAGGTCTTTACCCCGATACTCCACGAACGCGTCTTCGCCACTCATGTCGATGAGGTTTTCGACGGCAGCACCGACCCGTACAAGAACTTTGCCGTGCGGATGGTCATGGCCATCAGCCTCCAGAAGCTGGATACCCAGTATGCAGGCCTTGCCGATAGCTACTACCTCGCCGCCATGGAGTATTTCGAAGATGTCATCCGGCCAAAGGACATCAGGACCCTCCAATGCCTCGGCCTCATCGGACAGTACTCCCTGCTCACACCGACGCGCACCAACGTTTACCATATTGTCGGCCTTGGTACCAGGATTTGCCAGCAGCTGGCTATTGCTGACGAGAAAACCATAGCCAGCGGCTTTCAAGTCAGTCCCCTTCAGCTTGACATGCGCCGACGTCTAAGCTGGATCGTAGCCACAATGGAGCTCGGTCTGGCGCATTCCATGGGCCGTCCCAACGGGCTCGCAAAGGGAAACGACCTGGTTGATGTCGGCTTCTTTGCCGATGTGGACGATGAGTACATCACCGAGAACGGTATCCAGGGTGGTCCTCCGTCAGAGAAGAAACGCGTGGCAATCCACTTCTGCAAAATGCGCATCTGCCAGGCCGAGATCCGCCGCGTGCTCTACGAAAAGAAACGGCCAGAACCGCGCAGCGAGGATCACCCTTGGTTCGCCGATATGGAAAAGAAAATCAAGGACTGGCTCGACACGGCACCTGAGAACCCTGCCTGGTGCAAGCCTTGGTAAGCCATTACCCTATGAACCTACTACCATGCACTGAATCCTGTCCTAACCAACCTCGTAGGTTCACCGGGAGATATCATGCTATGATTGTATCTTTGTACCGTCCGTCGCCCCAAGTTCCAAACCCGTCGCCAGCGGCAGCCCTGCGCTGCTATGATTCATCTGCCTATGTGACAAACCTTGGCAGCCAGCAGGTCAAGAAGGCCGCCATCGACATTACTTGGGTCTTCCTGCTCACAATTTACATGTCTTTGAATACCATCCTCTGGTCTGTGTCGTATCCTGAAGTCAGGGGAAAGCATCCCCGCGAGGAGATCGAAGAGCTCATCAACACTTCACTGGATATTGTTGATCAGTGCTCGGAGCGCTGGCCCGGTGCCTCCGCCGCCTCTCAACTCTACTCGATCTTTGCCAAAGCCTGCCTCCAGAGTTACGACACCCCTGATGAACAGCAGCAGCAGCAGCAGCAACATCAACTACAACAGCAACAGCAACACGGTCCGCCGGTGTTTAATACAACGCAATACGGTGGACCTGAAGGATCATATCACTCACCGTCATCAGACGTCGACCCGAGTTCGCCAATCGCTTCCGGAGTTGTGCCGCTGCCGCCTAATGGATCTGCAAACGTCAAGCAAGAGCAACTTCAGCAGCAACAGGCCCCGATTTTTAGCACTCCGCAATTCGGATATATCTTCAATTCCACGGAACCAGCACCGCAAGCCTCCTACACGTATGACGAAGGACCGGGCGCCGGTCAACCTCAGTTCCGTTCAGGTTCCATCTTCCTGAACCCAGCATCTACGGAACCGATGGGCCGTCGATTTTCGTATTTCCCGCCTGAAGGACCGCCCCCATTGACCAACAGCGACAGTTCGCTCCAAAGCGAAGAATTGCCGCAGCCAACGATCGTTCCTGCACTGTCGCCGGCTATGATCACGTCCCCTGAATCGTACATTACGCCGCCCAGCACGAATAAGTTCACCACCACGTCTCCTTCAACAACCATAACGGCAGCCTCGTCGCCGACACCCACACCCACAGTTCGGCACATTAGCCCTCTGCCCGTGGGCCTGGGTCTCTCACAGGGTGTGCCACTACCGGTTCCCATCAAGTTTGAGTCGACCCCCACCGGTACACCTCAAACGCAGCAAGCTCAGCTCAACCAGAGGCGCACGCCTCCTCAACCCATCTCTGTCCCGCCTATGCAGCCCATGCAGCCTGCATATACCATACAGCCACAGCAGCAACAGCAACGGCCCCCTTCGCAAAAACAGCCGATGCTGCACCAACCACGTCAGGCACCGCAGCAACTACCACTGCCCGCTCCCTTGGAGCGGAATGAGCAAACATCCGCGACGGGTGGCGATTGGTTCTCGGCACAGCCTCCGTTCATTTCACCGTATGCGTTCAGTACCATCACAGGGGCCGCTGGCGGCTACATGGGGGACCCCACAGCAGCCTTTTCTGGCTACGGCCTCGGCGGCTTTGGAGGTGTTACCAACCCTCTTAGTCCGTTGACTGGGATCTACGGTGGCGCGCCCGCTGGCTTGGGCGCCGGAGGGACTGGCATTGGCGGCTTGCCAACTAGCCAGCCTGGTTATGCTGGCAACCTCGGCATAGCAGGAGGTGCCGGGGGTGCAGGGTCGGACGGTGGCATGAATGAGGCCTTTGGGTTCGGTGCTGGTGGTCCGGTGAACCCGCAGCGGCAAGGCAGTCTTTCGCACGAGCAGCAAATGGAGCTCATGGACGTGCTGGAGACGGAAGGCATGGGCGACATTGACACGTTCTTGAATATGGGCATTGGTTTGGGCGGTGTGAGCGGCGAGGCTCCCCAAGTAGTCAACTGGCAGTGACCAACGTGCCGGACGGAATTGGAGAAGGGCTGTCCAATGTCTGGCTTATCCACATATTCTTCATTGTAGGATCTTTGTTTTTTTTTTTTTTGAATCGGCATGGATAGATTTGGTCGGAAATGGATTTTACCTCATAGACTTTTTGAATACGATTTTTTTTTATTCGGTTATATTTGAACCCAGACTAGTACAATGAAAAATTGGATCTACGTTTTAACATTCGAGACTTGAAAGTTTTAGTTGTGAATTGATTTGTTTTGGAAAAAAAAAAAAAATTGTCTTATTCTGCTCCAAAAAATTAAGGATAGAAAAATTAAACAAAAAATACAAGAAATAAATTACATGTAACTTACTCAATTTGTGTATGAAGCCGGCACTCACCACACAGCATGAATAAATACTTTATGGCAAGTCAGGCATGCATGAACGTCATTAAGAAAACAGTTTGGTATAAAAGGCTGGCTGATGCTAAAAATAAAGGTCTGGGAACCAACAAAATTTGTAGTGAAAAGCCAAATGCTAACACAAATTGGCACAATAGCAAAAGGTCAAAAAGCAAAGAAAACAAACAAAAACTATAGTTGGGAGTTACAGCTGGTGGCCCGAGCCAGTGGGTTTGTGGTGTAGACAAAGGAAAACGTAAAGACAATAAAACCAAAAAAAAAGAGTAGGTTCGCCGCTTCCGGCCGCAACAAAAGAAAAGTTCTCAGCCATGGACGAGCATGAAATGGGCCATTACGTGCAATCCGTAAGGTAACGTAAAGGAACGAATGACAATAGGTGGTCAAAAAGAAGACGAGTTGGTGACGGCAGCTTGTCTCAACCTGTCACCCGGCGGACCCACAGTGTCGTGGGCTCATATTCGGCGTTCTTGTCGAGTCTCTTGTAGGCACGATGCAGCTTCAAACCGATTTCGTACTCCTCGCGCTGGATTTCGGCAAGGTCAGTACGCAGGCCCTCGACCTTGCGTTTCTCCATCTCGCGCTTGTGCAGAACGTCCGGCGTCGCCAAGAGATTGTCGGTGGGCATAAGTTCCGTCATCTGCTTAATGCTGCGGCCAATGTTGATGCGGCGCTGCGCAAGGCTGGCGAGCTGCGCGTTGAACATGGTGACGCGGTCCTTGGCCGTCATCTCGGGTGGGGCCAGTGGGAGATTTTTGTGAATAGACCCTGCCATGGACATGCGGTCAGACGAGTCCACACCCTTGGAAGCACCCATGAGATGTTTGTTCCGTAGCTGATTGTAAATGGACTCGTCGGGTAAAGCATCTTCCTCGCTACCGTTGCTGTTGCCAATGTAGTCGCCGCCGCCTTCCGTGTCGCGCAAAGGCGAGTGATTTCCAGACATCCACGGAGTCTTGAGACTGATCACAATCGGCTCGTTTCCATTCCTAATGGAGTTGGGGCTCGTATGTCCCATGCGCGGTGGACGCCGCCGGTCCATAACATTGCCATCGTCGCCAGGGCCAGGTAGCGGCTTGGTGAGAATCGGTACTGGCTTCTGTCGTGGCGGCGATGCCTGTTGCACGGGATTGCTTTCGACTTGGGCCACTGGACGGCGTTTTGTCGATTGGAATGGCGGACTAGACCGCAGAGGGTTGGGCACGGAAGGCATCTCAGGCGCATCCGCGTCGTCGAATTCGGCCAACGACTCGTGCACCGTGGAGTTGTAAGTGGTAGCGCTGAACCGGGACGGAGGCTGTGTCCATTCGCTATCTTGTGGGGGAGGGGGTGGTGAGACCGGGGACGAGCCAATGTTGGGATGAGCGCGGTTGTTGTAGTTGAAAGGGTCGCTTTCATCGTAACTGGCCAGACTCTGGTGCGAAGGAGTTGGCTTCCGTTTGATTTTGGACGATACCGGGCGAGTGGACTGCGGCAGCGTCTCTGACTTCAGTTGATGGGATGACGGGGACTCTTGGTAAGTGGGGTCTACAGACATTGGGGGACTCGGGTAACTTTGGGTGCCGGGCGTCGCAGGGGACAATGGCGTCTTGGTGGTCTATGTTTGGGATGTCAGTGCTGAAGTGCTGAGTGCTGAAAGGCCACTACGACGCTGCAGGAGACCGACCGCTCGGATTGGTGTTTCATCCCTGAGTGAACACTTGCAGGGGGGGGGGGGGACTTACAGTGCTAGCAATGTTCTGGCGAGGAGGGGATGAAATGATGGACGGATTTGCAGCAGTGGTGCTGTCTGCAAGTTTGGGCAGGGAGGCAACGCGCTTGCTGCTCTTGCGCGGGATGTTAAGCGGCTTTGCTTCCGGTGTGTCTTGGACGGGCGCAACCAGGGCTGTGCGGCCGCTCGCACCATGCCATGCAGGTCGATTGGACGTGAACGCTCCTGCAGCAGGATCTGTCGATGACGAAAATTCTTTAGGCTGGGATTCAACCGCTGGTGACCGCGGCGACACGGGGTCCTTGGGAGGCAGTGGAGGTTGTGGAGGTTGAGCTGCTGAGGCAGACGATGACGACGGGTTGGTCGTACCAGTCCCCGTCTGCACGGTGCGACGAAGCCGGCTGGCAAAGCTGGCAATGCCGCTGGCCCCCGATGCCGATTTACCCTCCTTAAAGGTCGCTTCTGTCGGGCTCGTCGAATCGACTGCCAGACCACGCGCATACTCTGCAGGTTTAACCTGACTTGGCCGCCCCTTTTGGGAGCTTGTCAGCTCGCCAGTCTGTGGATCCCAGCGAACCTCGCCGCCCTTGTAGCCGCGCTTAGAGGAGGCGATGGAGTTGCTGCGCTCCTGCTGCGTCTGGTGCATCTGTTGCAAGCGTTCTCTTGACTTCGTCTCACGCAATGTCTTGGCAGCGGCGTCTGCCGTTTGTCGCCGTTCCCGCCGCATCATGGGAATGTTGCTTCGCGACGCAGACGGCGGCCGGCCATCGTGGGCCGGTTCCCTTTGTTGAGTCGCCTGCGTCGCAGCCATGTCGAAATGAGGCTCGCTTCGCTCGACGGGGCTGATATCTGGGGCAGTCGGTGGGGGATTATGGGGCCTGTGACTACGGTTAGGAGAGAACGTGGGAAGTGTGTATGCTGTGCCAGCGGTGGACGCAGGAAATACTGGTTCACGTCAAGCCACGCCGGTTTACAAGGGGCTGTCGGCTTACGCTAATTCGGTAGCAGAAAGTTCAGGAGAGCTCTCCGGGGATACTCCGTCAGCGTTCCGGAGGTCCTTGGGCTGCGAGTAGTATAGATACTGCGATCGGGGGTCCTGGTACTGGTAGGATGGCTGCTGCTGATGATGCTGCGGGTGCTGATGATGCTGGTATTGCTGCTGCTGGTATTGCTGCCCGCCTGCAGACTGGCTGTAGCCGTGGTGCTGGTATTGTTGCGCCTGCAGTGGCGGCTGTTGCTGCTGTACCTGAAAGGTCGTGTTGATCGGACTTGGTTGGGAGTAGATGGACGATGCAGGGCGAGTTGCGCCTCGCTTCGGGTTCCTTGCCGGAGGCAGCTGCGAGTGTTGAGACGGAGCTGTGTTTCTGTTTGTGTCGGTCGCTAAGGTTAGTTCGTAATCGAGGAAGGAAAAAAACCCCGAAAGAACTGACGGGGGTAGAGAGGGACAGACGAGGGAAATAGGAGTGATAGATCAAGCACTCGCAAGATCAACAAGCTGGAAAATGGCTAAGTCATTCGCGTAACAAAAAGGCAAGCTGGCAGAGTTACTGAAAGTCCGTTTATTGGCTGTCCGTTCCACTCGCACAGATCAAAGCCACGATGCTGGAGAGGAAACATGAGAAAGACAACATAGGCAAGGATGGGCGGTCGAACGCTGAGGAATTTGGTTGAGGAACTGGCCAACGCCAAAATAGGGAGGGAGATAAGCAGGGACTGGACCGGACAAGGAGATTAATTGCACCAGGGGAGGTTTCTGGTGGAGAATGCGACGATGTTGTGGGGTGTTGAGGGGCCTCATCCACTGAACAAGGGTGCAAAGGGACTGGACATTGAGGGGTGTGGCTGTTGGCGTTCGAAGGTTTAGGCGAAGTCCGCTGCGGTAACCGTTCTTCGGGACGGCCATCAAACAACTTGAGAAACGTAATAAGACGCGACATAAGTACTTACAATTGCTGTTGTTGTTGGAGATGTTGTTGCTGCTGTTGCAAGTATTCTCGTTGAAACTGTTGGTATTGTTGGTATTGCAACTGTTCGTGCTCCTGCTGCTGATGCTGTTGTTGCTGCACAAACTCGCGCGGTGGGAAGGCTGGCGCCGGACCGCCTTGGATGGAATAGCTGTAGCCTGCCATTGTTGATGTGACGACGGTTCAACGGTCGCGAACCACGACCTGCGAATCAGATTCTTGCTGTGTTCTTTTTGGGAGGGGGGTTTGGACTCGGCGTGTCAGTGTCCGTGTGCCAAAGAGTGCCGGAGACTGGTCTGTGGTCCGCTATGGTTTTTCAGCCTTAACAAATCGAGTCGAGATGGGATGGAAGTCGAGAACGTCGATATATATCCTTCGTCACGCCGGCTCCCGAGTCGCCGTTTCCTGACACCGCTCCTTTGGTAGTGTGCTTTGAGCCGTCTGCAAATGTCGTTCGTGTCGACAATGTCCAGGGGAGGTGCCTGTTCGCCTTTGACGTCTCTAACATGCAAATCCCCCCATCGGGCACGGCGATGCACGTCACGGCGCGAAGTTGATGTTTTCTCCGGCTGCGTTGCGAGGCCGTGGCGATCGTGCAGCCGTGTGCGTTCCTGTGTGCGCCTGAGCGTGTGGGGAGACTGGCTGATGTTCTGCCCACCTTGGTTGTGGTACTTTTATCCAGCGATCCCGGATGCCACACGGCACGTCACGACACCAACCGTCTTTTGGAATCTTGGCTGGCCGAGTGGAGGCAAGGGCAAATGGAAGAACAGAATGGTGCCTAGAAGAATCACTTAAGCAAGCGCATGAATGGGCTCAAATTGCGGTCGACTGTCCTCGGCATCCGTTGTTCTGGATCCAAGCCGTTGAAGACGGAGTAGATTTATTTGCGGAGGATCGTGGGGGCGATGCAATTCTGGGTCG